GTGTGGTTCAGCAGTGGAGCATCAACCTATGATCCAGGAAATCAAGGTTCAATTCCCCATCAGGGCACATGCCTGGGTTTTGGGCTCAATTCCCAGTAGGGGGCATACAGGAGGCAGCCAATCAATGACAATTCTCTCATCATTGATGTTTCTCTCACTCTTTCCCCTTCCTCTCTCTGAAATCAATAAAGACATATTTAAAAATATACATATATCTACCATATTTTTTACTGTTTTCTATTTGTTGCCTTTGTACTTTGTTTCTTTTTTGACTTAGATCTTTATTCTGCCTTCTCTACCATTTTGTTGCTTTTGAAGTAAATCTTTTTAAATTAAATTTATTGGGGTAACACTGGTTAATGATAATATATAAATTTCAGGTGTACATCCTTAAAATACAACATCTGTATATGCCATTGTGTGTTAACCATTTAAAGTCACCGTCCTTCCGTCACCATGTATTTGACCCCCTTTACTTTCTTCTTCCCCATTCCCCTTTGGTAACCACAAATCTATTGTCTGTATCTATGAGTTTGTTTGTTTTATTCTCTGTTGCTTTTTGTTTTATATCCCACATATGAGAGAAATCATATGGTTCTCGTCCTTTTCTGTCAGACTTACTTCACTTAGCATAATACTCTCAAGATTCAGCCATGTTGTCGCAATGGCAGTATTTCATCATTTTTATGGAAGAGTAGTATTCCATTGTATATGTATCTATCCAGCTATCCATCGAAGAACACTTAACTTGTTTCCATGCCTTCGCTATTGTGAGTAATGACAATAAACATAGGGGTATTATGTCTTTACAAATAAGTGTTTTCAGATTTTTCAGGTAGATACCCAGAAGAGGAATTGGTGGCTCATGTGGTAAAACTATTCTTAATTTTTTGAGGAGCCTCCATATTGTTTTCCATAGTGGCTGCACCAGTTTACATTCCCACCAGCAGTGGGCCCTTCGCCTCTCCATTTTTCTCCTCTCTTAGCATATCATTTTACTTTTTTTTAGTAGTTGGGCTTGAGTTTGCAGAGAGATCTGATTGGTGAACACATCAGTGTGCTGGGAGGGTATCATGCCTGAACAGTGCAAGGAAGCTCCTACTCTGCACACCCCCACTTTGCCCTGAGCACCCCTTCCATTTGGCTGTTCCTGACTAATATGTTTTACAATAATCTGATGATAATAATAAAGCACTTTCGTTAGTTCTGATAGTAGTTTTAGCAAATTAATATACATGAGGGGGTATCCTGGGAACCTCCAAATTTGTAGTTGGCTGTGGAGAAATGTGTATGGCCTGAGCCCCCATTTCTAGCTGGCATCTGACATGTGGGCAGTTTGTGGAACTGAGCCCTTAAACTGTGGAGTCTGATGTTAACTCTAGTTGGTGGTAGAACTGAATTGTAGGCCACCCAGTTGGTGTCAGGGAGGTGGAGAAATGGTTTGGAAAACACACCACATATTTGCTGTCAGGAGGAAAAAATAGCCTGTGAACCTCACAAGTGTTTCTGAGTCTGCGCCCCCAGCCTCAAGTTAGCTCAGGCAGAAAGGTTAGAGTCTTCAATTTCTGTCCCCGTGTCAGTTCGGCTCTGGTATAAAATCCCAGTCAGTTCGGCTCTGATGAAACAGAATCTTTGAGGACAGGCCTTGTTAAGAAGATTCAGAAATAGGAAAATAGGCTATTTTCCTATTTCTCCAGTTTTGGAGACAGCAGTTTGCCCTGTGACCTCAATTCTTTTATAGCCCAGGAAGAGCTGTTGATTTTAAGTTTGCTTTTTTCTGTTGAGGATGGGAATGTCCCTTAAGCTCCTTACAGTGCAAATGAAAAACCAGAGGTCTCTGACTCCGTATTTTAATGTTTGACTGCTGGTCTGTTGGATAAACCAGTATTCTTCCTGAGTAGAGAAAACCCACTTTTTCCCTCTACTTTTATTCAGAACATTGTCAGCTCCTGCACTTCTGGTCACCAAATGTGTAAGGTTTTTTTCCCTACAACAAGCAGTTATCTGTGACACCAGCTGGTGTCCTACAACTTAATCATAACACTATGTTCCTGGAGATAGTGTCATATCCTGCAGGTTAAGGTCTCAGTCCCAGGAGACTGCCCCAACCCCCACTCCCACTTCAGATGCCAATCACAAGTAGTAGATCTGCAGGTTACTCACAACTTCTGACTTGGCTACAAATCAGAGGTTCCTATAACCCCCCTCCTTGGGTTTGATTAATTTGCTAGAGTGCTCACAGAACTCCGTGAAACACTTAAGTTCACCAGTTTATGAAAAGATACAGATGAACAGATAGATGAAGAGATACTGTAGGCAAGCTGAGAGCCCCTGTGAATTTGGGTGTGTCACTTTCCTGGTATGTGAATGTTCTCACCAACCTAGAAGCTCTCTGAACCCCATACCATTGGGAATGTGCAGTCCTCCTCCCATAGGCATGGTCAATTATTAACTCCATTTTCAACCCTTCTCCCTTCTCTGGAGGATGGGGGGAGGTGGGCAGGGCTGAAAATTCCAAGCTCTAAATGGCTTGGTCTTCTGGTGACCTTCCCCATCCAGGAGCCATCAGGAGCCCAACCAGAGTCTCCTCATTAGAACAAAAGATACTCCTAATGCTCTTATCACTGAGGCATTTACAAAGGTTTTAGGAGCTTCCTGCCAAGAATCAGGGTCAAAGACCAATATACAGGTAGACCTCACTTTGTTGCACTTCACTTATGTTGCATTTTTTACAAGACCCTCGCCCAGTAAAAAGATTCCAACACTCTCCATTGCAATACTCACTTACTGTGGTAGCCTGGAACTAAACCCACAATATCTTTGAGATATATGATTTCTATTATCTGACAGCTGACAACTTGAAAGCCTTAACCCTCCTTCTTCCCCCTTGTGTCCCATGTCTGTACAGGGTGATAAAAATTAAAAAAAAAATAAAGTCTGGTTCCTCACTTCTTTGGTGCTGACAAGATATTCAGTCCCTGAAAGCCCCCTCTGTGTATCTGTGGGTGGGAACTCTCACCCTAGCCCAGCCCTAACCTCAGTAAAAAACCCAGGCCATGCTCCTTTCCTTGTTCTCTCAAGCCATTTCCCACCTGCTTGAGAGGCCTGCCCAGCTCTCCTTAGAGACCTCAGTTACGGAATCATAAACCCTTTCATACATTCCTGGTAGCTGTGTGTTGGTCTCAACTATTCAACCAAACTTTGGGTGTGGTCGGGGGGTCTACCTTTCAATGCAGGTTATAGGAAACATAACATGGTGTGTATGTATGCAATATATTTTGCTTATTTGTTCTATTGATAAATCCTCCAGATCTTTTCATATCAGTACCCTTTGTTTTTAAAAAGTACATATGATGATGAATTTATATAATCCATTCTTTCTAAATAGACACGGCTTGTTACCAATTTTTGCTGCCAAAACATGAATGAAAACTCAGATTGCAACTTTATGGGGCAAACAAACATACAAATTATGTTCTTTTCCAACCTTAATTACTTCTTAATTTTATCATAAAATATATTCAGAAAAAACTGTACAAACTGAGTTTTGGTAAGACTTAGTAATAACAATACAAACACCCTTGGAATCATCATAAAGATTCATAAATGGCCTATGGGCAGTGGTAAGGGCCTCCTGATGTTCCCATCCCTGACTTATCTCTGTCCTGCCCCATAAATGACCACTGTCCTTATTCTTTATTCTTCATACCTTTGCCATCTATTATTTTTCACTAAGCAGTGTTCTTTCAGTTTTGCCTCCTTTGACCTTTGAAAGAATGAGTATTAATGGAGTTCCTTGAAGAGGTTTTCCCTTGGTTACTTTGCCTCTGTGGATGAAAAGGGGCCACATGCTAACTTGACAATCTCAGGAAATTCCTGGGTGGCCATGGCCTTGCAAACTCAGAGACTTAGTATAACCACAAAGGATGGTCTGAAATTAAAACTTTTTAACTAAAAGCAGTTTATGGCTGATAGTCACGTCCTAGGCTAGACTCTTCCCTGACAAAAGTCAGTCTTCACCGTAACTGAGCCTGTCTATTGTCTTTTGCATCTAGAATAACATACCTTTGGAATGTCAGGGTAACTTCCCTTTTCTGGACTCCTCAGCGCACAACCAATGCACCAGAACAGGGACTACAAATTCTCTCATTGTTATTTTTGTCATATTAATTGTTGACTATTAACTATCCTGTACCCACCTATGTAAAAGATGTATATGTCTGTCATTTTACCTTTTGTCCAATCCCAGAGGTCCCCCCCTCTTTCTCCTTCCTCCCTAATCTATCACCAATGAATTTTATGTAACACTTCTTATCTTTTGATCAAAATGTATAAAATAAGGTGCAAAACTGCTGTTCTCTGGAGCATTATCTCAATCCATTGAGATTTTGCTTCCCAGCAATTTTCAACAGTTTGGCTCAAATAAACTCACAAAAATTCTTCACAGGTTTGAATGTTTTTTACATTGACACCTCACATGTTTCACACATGCTGGCATCTGAGGCTTGGGGCCCAGAGCCAAGTGCCACTAAGACCACAGGATTCTTGAAAGTACCAGGTGGGGGGGGGGGGG